ATGTTGTATATTTGTTACGTACATATAAATGCTAACCGTGTAGTGGTGGTGTAAAAATACCCACTACCACTTATCGTCCCGTGGGTGTCGTGAGAGGTGACAGAGGGAAACTAAAACAGGAGATGGTCAGCAGTATCTTCCTGGTAACAACTGAATAAATATAAAACACTGCGGTTGCCAACGCTCCTGCTAGGCGTGGTTACTATGGCAAATATCGCCCCTATGTGGGGCTGCTATTTGCCGTAGTTGTTCACCCTACTGCTAAAAGAAGGTCTCTTCCATAGATTGTCTCATAGACGGGATATTTGCCATCGTTACCACGCTTGGCAAGCGGCTTGAAAACCGCAGTTTTTTTTATTTTATTTATTTATTAGGAAGACGCTGTTGCGCATCTCATAATTTGTTTCCCCCTGTCGCTTGTTACTACACCCGCGGGATGGTATGGGGTAGTGGATATTCTTACACCGCCACTACACGGTAATTTACACTTTAAATTAAACTAAGTTTATGGATTTTCGCGTTTAATTTTTACTTTTTAGTTCCCGACGTTTAAAACTATTGTTGTAAAAATGAAGATTTAAAAAAGTATAAAATTAAGCTATAACTCGTTAGCGCAGTAATTCAGCTTCAGGTCGCAACGCTGTAGGCTACGGATTCGATTTTCGCTTAGCGTAAAAATACTTATACGATCTATAAAAAAATCCGAGTATGTATGTATAATTTGTGTATATCAAATTAAACGATACAGGAGAAATAATTTCTAGTGAAGAAAAGATTATTAAATCACGGAAAAGGCGGGAAACGCGTAGGAAAACTCTTAGCTTCTCTTCTTCTCTTCCCTTCGGGTTGAGTTAATTATTGTATCAATTCTTATTGTTAACTGCATATTACTAAACTAAATAGAGGCTTGACTTGAGCTCAATGTTCCTATCTTGTCGTAAGATGCGTCAGAGTGATAAAAATTAAGAGATGGGCACCAGCAACACTAATAATGACTGAATATAGAAAGTTGAGGCTACCAACCCGCTTGCCAGACGTAGCAACTATGGCAAATATCCTCCCTGTGGAGCAATCTATGGAGGCCTGTGTTCACCAGCGAACTTTGATAGGTTGTAACTATTCCTATCTTATTTGAAATCAGGTTGTTATTAAATTTTATAAAGATATTCTGTCCTTCGACTTCTGTTTTTATTCTTATCGTAAGAAAATTCTATTGCTTGAATTTGCTGTCAGGTTTCACGGCACCCACTACTTCAATTCTACGCTTTGTTGTCATAAACTAAGGAGCCAACCACTGCATCCATTGGTTGCCCTTTTATTTTTTTTATAGGAGAGGGGGCAAACGAGCATGCGGCTCACCTGTTGGTAAGCGACTACCGCCGCCCATGAACAACCGCAACACCAGGGGAATTGAAGATGCATTGCCGGCCTTTTAAAAAGGAGTAGGCTCTTTTCTTGAAGGTCCCTAAGTCGTATCGGTCCGGAAAAATCGCTAATGGTAATCGATTCCACAAGGAAGTTGTGCGAGGAAGAAAACATCTTCTAAATCGCACAGACCGCCAATCATCCAGATGGTGTGGATGGTATCGGGAGTTCTGCCGCGATGTGCGTTCGTGAAATTTGGCGGCTGGGATTAATCCGAACAATTCCTCAGAGCACTCCCCGTGGTAGATGCGAAAGAAAATGTAAAGGGATGCAACATCTCTTCGCAGTGCCAATGAATCGAGCCGATCGGAAAGGACTCGGCCGTCGACGATTCGAGCCGCTCTGCGCTGGATGCGGTCAATTGGAAGGAGCTGGTACTGGGGAGCCCCTGCCCAGAGATGGGAACAGTATTCCATGTGAGGCCGAACCTGCACCTTGTAAAGTTGCAGGCGGTGTGCCGGCATGAAATACTGTCCCGCTCTGCTGAGCACGCCAAGCTTTTTAGAGGCCAATTTGGCCTTCTCTTCCAAGTGACCAAAAAACTGCACGTCACTCGATATGTCGACTCCGAGGGTTCCGATACTGGCTGAGGCAAGAAGGGGAGTGCCATTAAACTGAGGAGATACGACAAAGGGGTTCTTTTTAGCGGTAAACGCGCAAACTTGTGTCTTCTGAGGATTAAACTGGACTAAATTTAGTCGCCCCTAAGGGCTAAGATGAAATGCCTCGTATCCAGTAAAAAGGGCCTCCGGTTCTCTGCACTCACTATACGAAACACAGTAGCATTAAGCTGCTATTTTACGCTGGTAATCTGTGAGAGCGTGGTCCTACCCCGGTCGAGCTGACCCATTCGTGCTAAAACCATATTATAGCTCCAGTGTGGCTCTATCATGTATAAAATTATGAACAAAAAAGTAAATCAACAAAATAATTTCATATAATTCTTACAGCTGATATCTGATTGAGCTTAAATTTGGCATACTTATGAAACTTCGATGGCAAAGCAATAATATAATACTACAGCCTAAGAAGAACAACTGTGATAATACCATGGAGCTGATCTAATGATGGATTCGTATACTGGCTTTGGCAACGCCTAGAAAAGCTTGTTAAAGAGAAACCTTCTTTAGAACCGTTGTGATATGAAACAAAAAATCTACACTAAAGAGACAAACATATACATCTGTAGAATTTAGCGTGCGAGAGATTGAGATAGAATATTATATTAAATTAGGCGCGTTTAGGCTACCTAGCGTCTATTTTACGTACCACCTTGTTAGTCAATTAAATGTTGTTCTACAAAATGACATTACCTATAAAATGAAGTAGATGCGCTCTTGCAAAGCAATTTTTATTGATTTATAGGCTCTACATGTCTAACAATAAGAATTGTAACATTTATTTGCTATAAAATTAAACTTTTATCTAATATTTTATGCCGCACTTTTGTTTGAAAACTACTATATTAAATAAATCATTTGTCGTGAAATATTTTCATTTTAACTTAATATCATTTGAAGGTTTCACTTTTACTGCGTGTGAATGTAGACTTTATCTATCTTTAAATGCGCGACGTGACGACTAATAGTTTTAAAATATCTTCTTTCGATATTATAATCAACTGATATTTACGTACATAGATAACGATAATAACATCTCATCATTCAAATAACTCTTAATAACACTATTTATATTTATATATTTTATGATTATTTTTAACCCACTTCAAAAAAAGGAGGTGCTCGATTTGACTGTTTTTTTATTTGTTACCTCAGAACTTTTTTCTCGTTGATACGATTTTGATGATTCTTTTTTTTATTTGAAAGCTGGTGCTTCTCATGTAGTCCCATACAAATTTGATCAAGAACTGACCAGTAGTTTTTGAGTTATCCTTAATAATGCGTATTTAATTAATTTCTACTAGATTGATGATGTTCTCATTTAATTTATTTTCAAGTCGGTTGTATAAAATTTTTATTTAAATTAAAGAAAGTATGTTTTGAAATTTCTTCATTATTCATTACTGGCAGTATGCGGAAAAATATGCTCGGCGAGGTACGGTGAAGGCAACGAAGTTTCTTTGCAAGACAGAAGCCGTGACGGGGATATACGTATTAATTAGCGATGCCAAACTAACTGACATAATCCAAAGGGTCAGTAGGCTGATGCTGACGTGCCAATGGGCTGGTCATTTAGCTCAAAGTACACAAAACCAACGGGGGAAAATGTTCTAGAGTAACTATCTCGTACCGGCAGGCTCTACATAGAGCGGTTCCTCACTACATGAAGTGAAGACTTGATTAGACATGTAGAGAGTCAATGGATGCGGATAGCTTAGCCCTGTGATGAGTCTTGGGGAATGCTATATCCAGTAGTAAGCTTATGATGGGCTGAAATATAAGAATGTTGAAATTTTCGAATATATTTTTCATTTTTCAAATATAATTTGAACGTGGTAGAGCCAGGATACGGTTATACTATAGTTGTAGCACGAATGAGTCGGCTGGACCGAAGAGGGGCCATGCTCTCGCAGAATACCAATGTATAATAGCAGCTTAACGTTGCTGTGTTTCGTACGGTGAGTGTAGAGAACCGGAACCTTTTTACGATTCATTCCATCCTAGTCCTCAGGGGCGACAATGCAACTACATTCTGATTCTTAATCGAGTGTAGATGAAGATGTCTATGGATCATCTACTTAACATCAGGTGGACTGTGCTCATTTGTTACCCTTATTCTATAAAACTATCAGTGGTAGAGCCACGCGGCAGCTTTTACTGTCGCACGGTTGGGCGGCTCGAACCGGGGTGGTACCACGACCTCACAGAAAACCAGCGGGAAGTATATATATATATATATATATATATATATATATATATAAATCTTTATATATATCTTTACAACTACATATACTGTCACGTCCGCGATGAACTCCTGAACTACTGAACTGATTTCAATGAAATTTTGCACACTCTGCGCAGTTTGGTCCAACTTGAGAGATAGGATACTTTTTATCCCGATAAGTGACCTTTAATATTTTTTTATTGCGAATTTAAGGATTTTTTCATAGGAAGGATCGTCGGAAAGGGCAGAATAACGTCTGCCTGGCCAGCTAGTCTCTTTATATATAAAAATTACGTGTCACGTTGTTTGTCTGCGATGGACTCCTAAACTACTGAACTGATTTCAATGAAATTTGGCACACTCTGCGCAGTTTGGTCCAACTTGAGAGATAGGATACTTTTTATACCGATAAATGACCTTTAATATTTTTTATTGCGAGTTTAAAGATTTTTTTATAGGAAGGAGCGTCGGAAAGGGCAGAACAACGTCTGCCTGGCCAGCTAGTATATATATATATATATATATATATATATATATATATATATATATATATATATATATTGATGATGACACGAGACCACTCATTAATACCTTCTTAATCAGCTGACAAGAGTTGCCGTCTAATTATAGTAATAATATTATATCTATTACAGATTTGGAAGCGACAGCTGTAAGCGAGCCAAGTTCCTCACCCCCATTGCAGTACATCACGGTGTGACGTCGAGTGACGTATGGCCGATAGGAACTACGCTTACGACCCGGTTGGGACCGGAGCGCCAGTCAACCAACAATCGTACAGGATGGAGGCGGGACAGTTGTGGCGGCAGTATGTGATCGCCGGCATCGGTATGTCACTGTGAATTTTAACGTGTGATTTTCAAATTATTTGTGTTTACGTGTGATTTTGGAATATCTGTGATCGACACTGGCCACTTATTAAGAATATCGGTTAAAAATTAGAAGAATTTGCGGTGTTTTCGTTTAAAAGTTTCGTTTGAATCGGTAAATAATATTATAAATTTAAATGCTAGTAAATAAAAAAAATAATGACATTTTTTGACCAAAACATATTTTCCAAACACGTGTTGATTAAAAACTATCATTAATACCATAAATTGGAAGTGTTATCTTAATTTATATATTGCTTGTGAAATTTCAGCGACGCGAGTAAGACTGGATTAACTTTTTTAAGTAGGAAATTTTATAACTAATATATTTATAATTATGCCAGATTATTTTTAAAACGTTCTTATTACCTATCCGTATCTCAGATACTGACTGAAAAAAAAAAGTATTTAAATTTACTAGCGCGAAAATAATGGTAAAAAATGTGGGAGATAAATTAATGCGTACAGAACTACTAGTAAAGTTACTTTTCAGTTCTGTGATATACCAAAAATAAACGATAAACTGGTTTATAATGAGATCCACGCGTATGTAGATGCTCATGTTCTGGATTTTAAAACAATAAAAAATAAAATGTTAAAGATACATACGGAATGAATAAATGTCTGATAAAGACGTAAGTATAGTTTTAGGTGTTTAGTCTAATCTACGAATATTTTTTGACTTAACCTAACTAAGTATTTCATGTCGTAATAAATTTTCAACATAGTGCGTTACGTATATTAAATAATTTGTGTAAAATTATCATTTTATCTTTTCATTAAACACCACTTTTTAGTTTTTATCCAGCTAGATTATTTAATTATTAGTAAAGAAGTTAAAACAGGATAATCTTTCTAAATACCTGTACAATAGCTAATATAGATATTACGTAGCTATAGATATACGTTTTATATAGCTACATATCGTGATTAGCTATGAATTTCCAATCAAAATAGAATTCTCTGAGACGTCAATGATTACGAAAGAAAGTAACTGCTACTAATACTATACTGTATATCAATGAGAAATATGTAAATACCTAAGTAGAGTCCGGTCATAATCTTGAACTCTATGCTACCTTTATGCAATAGATAATTAATCAACTTTATTTATAGTACATACATTGAATTGTTTCTTTTTTTGCGAAATTTTGGAAATGCTAATCATGTTTTCACCAGCCAGCATTTTCAATACAAAAAAATATGAAAATAAAAAATAGAGTTGCAGATCTCGCGTTCTTTGTTTTGGCTTAATTACATTTCATAAATATGACTCAAATAAAAGTTGATTTAAAATATTAACACAAATAAAATTCCGAGTCTTGGTAGGTTAGGGGCTTACCACTCGCTGTATATTTCACAGTGAGCGAGCAACCAGGTTCGATCAGGGAAATTGTTAGTTGCAATTTTATGTGCTGATGTACCCCGTGCTCAGCGAAGAAGGAAAACATCGTAAGGAAACTTGCATGTTTGAGAAATAAGAAAAAAAATTCGTAGTCATGTGAAATTTGCCAATACACATTGGGGCAGCGCGGCGTACACTTCCCAGAAGTGAGGTGAGACCTGTGCCCAGCAATGGGACGAATATAGGCTGTAAATTTACCTTTTACTTTACAAAGAAGATTCGCAAAGAATAAAGTTAATAATTAGATAATGAATTATTTGCTTTATTAAATTGTAGGGCTTTTTCTGCTTAATAGTCCATCTAGGTTTGCCTATTTCCACCATCAGTCCATGAGCTGTAATAGCCACTTACAGTCAAGCGGATGGTGAGCACGTTTGTCACCCAATTAAAAATAAATGTAGGTTAATGAACATTTCCCATTATGTGTAAATTAAATATTCCCATTGAACTTTCAATCTAAAAGTGGAAATAACTCGCGGCATTTAAAAAAATGCGATTTTAGACGTGAAGCTACGCTATGTTATGGTTGCGAAACGAATGGTTTGCCCTGAACGGGGAAACCGCGCTCACACATAATATCAGTGTAAAATAGCAACATAATACTGCTATGTTTTGTATGGTGACTGTAGAGAATCGGCCAGGAGGCCAGGGATAAAAACACATCTAAATTTGGATTCTTAATCGAGTATGGATGTGATGGCTAGGGTGTACTGTGGGCTTGTCTGACACACTTATTCTCATAAAAATGTTAGAAAACAAGTACTTATGTCAGCTTTTAAACGACAAACAAATAATTTCAATATTGTAGTGTCTATTAATTGAATAATATAATATGAATATATTATGTGAATGTCAATATAATCACTACGTTAAAGTCAATGTTGAAATTTAAAATATTGAAGCATTGTAATGTAAAGCATTGACCATAAACCGCGTAATTTATTTCTTTATTTATTTTCGGGATAACAAACAGATCTTTCTATATATATATAAAAAAAAACAATTGTTTGTATGTGTTTGAGTGAGTCCCTAAAAATTCAAAATTGGACTCGGTAGGTGGCGCTGTTGTCGCGATCCAGAATTCACCCGTGCGAAGTCAAGGCGGATCGCTCGTATATAATAATTATAAAGTTATTTTGAGAAATAGGTTGACGAACCCATGTGTATGAATGGACCTTTAGTCTTTACTGATGACTTTGTAGAGACTAGAGAAATTTACTACAACCGACTTCAATATAAATTATTAAGGATAACTCAAAAACTACTGGTTAGACCTTGATCAAATTTATATGGGACCACAAGAGAAACATCAGCTTTCAAATAAAAAGAGAATCATTAAAACCGGTTCAGGAAATTGAGTAACGATATTTTTATTTATAAAAAACAAAGACGTATCTGATAGAAAATTGATGCAATGGTCCATTGACGTTTACTCCCGACGAAAACAGAGAGGTGTTATAAGTTTGTAGTGTGTATATATGTATCTGTATGCCTGTCTGTAGCATCACACCTCCTGTACGGATAAATCGATTTTGATTTTTTTTTTCGTTTGAAAAGTGTCTTAATCGAGAGCGTTCTTTGCTATGTTTCAAGAAAATCTGCTAAAGCCATTTGTTTATACAATAAGGGTGACAAACAGTCGACCTGATGGTAAGTGGATGCTGTGGCCAATAAACATCTACATTTATCCTGAATTAAGAATCAAAATACAGATGCGCCGCCACCCCTGAGGACTGAGATGGAATGCCTCGTTACCAGTAAAAAGGGTCTCCGGTACTCTACACTCACCATACGAAACACAGCAGCATTGAGCTGCTATTTTACGCTGGTATTCTGTGAGAGCGTGGTCCTACCCCGGTTGAGCCGACCCATTCGTGCTACAACCATAATATAGCTGCAGTTGGCTCTACCACGTAACAAAACATTACATAACAATATCATCATCTCTTTTTGTTTCGGAGTTTTTAAATTTTTAAATGTAAGTTATTTTATTTTAAAATTAAAATGCTAAGATGAAGTGCCTCGTTACCCGTAAAGAGGTTCCACGTCAAATTCTTTCGCTCATCACAATCTATCAAAGTCCACTGAACATGGGGCTCGCCAAATTGGTCAGAGAGTGGATATTTGCCGCAGTTGCCACGACTAACAGGCGCGTTTTTCATGTCTGATTGCCATTAGGAAAGCACTGATGCTCTCCTGGTTTGTTTTCTTCTGTCACCTCTTACCACCTAGGAATAGTATGGGCTTTGTGAATTCTTACGGCATCACTCCACGGTATTCGTGAAAATATACCCGTTGTAGTTCTTCTTCTTCTTATTCGTGTGCTTCATTACTGAAGGTCGTGCTTGTTCTGAAATGCTTTCACCGATGTGTCGAGTGGCTTCCTCCATACCACTCTGTCCTCGGCTTGTCCGACCAGCGGGTAGGTAATCGTCCACGTGATCTTTCGTTGTAGTTAGACACCTATATTTATTGATCGTTTAAGTATCAAATGTGTTGTCACCCTTGAGGATCAAGATGATATGCTCCGTAACCAATAAAAAGGGTCCCCGGTTCTTTATACTCATCATACAAAGCAAAGGCGTTTTCAGTTGATATACCTACTTCTGTGAGAGCGTGTTTCTTTCGCAGTTAAGCCGACGTATTCGAGCTGCAGTCATACTATAACTACAGCGTAGACAACAAAAAGTTTCTTAAAAAAGTTATTTCGTATGTTACAAGGAAATAAAGATACATAATATATTAACTAATACAGATGTCAGCAGCATTGGAATAGATTATATTAGCAAATATAAACTTGGAGATATAAATTATGGAAAATACCAGAGGCTGAAAAGAATACAATAGATGTAACAATGTCACGAAGGCCTTAAATCTTATAAGACCAGTTTGTTAGTAACAATCACCTTGCATTAATTCATCTGGAAGCTATTTCCAAGTCATCCATTTTATCGCATGTTTAGAGCATTGAGTTGCGACGCTTAGGGCCGCGGATTCGAATCCAGAACGGAACAAGTATTTGTATGGCCTACGAAATAATTGTTCCGGGTCTGAATGTTTGTCTTAGTGCAATATATGTTTACAAACTGCCTCCATGATACAGGAGAAAATGTTTGTGTGAGTCTAATGTTTTTTAAAACGAAAATAGATAGTCGTAAAATTTGTACTGTATTGTAGTGTCAACTTCTTCAACAGTCAGCAAAATACCGTCATCAATGAAGCCATGACATCTTTCTGGGTTTGTTTCGACCATTGTGGGCTGTTAGGACACCAACGGAAAGAAATGGGATGATCTTTTAACTAATTCATTGAATATCATTGGATGCTAACTCAAACGTTCCCCGCAAACGTTCGTCAGATTCGACCGTCTTTTTATCAACTTAGAAGTACTGGAAGTACGTAAAATAACCGTAGCTTAATTTGAATCAACTCTAAACTGCATCCGAAAAAACATATTAGTTCCTTCTAATCGCACACAAAGTCTTTAGGTTATTCTGTAAAAGGTAAATAATAAATATATAAATAATTTAACCAACAACCAACCAAAGTTTACA